ACTGTCTTCCCTCCTTCTCGTAGAGCAAACCGCAAGCCTGAGTGAAAACACTTATATTGCTGGCTATCAGTTTTTACCATATAGATTAACCTAAATTGGAGTTTCACCCGTTTATCGTGAAGTGGCGTAATACTCTATGTGAACAAGTATGTTTCCACGACCGATAACACAATTGTTCATGTGAATTTTTTTCACTAATACAGAACTCTATTGATATATGAAATTGTTATCGTACAAACATTATAAGCTAAATTATTCATTTATACAGTCAATGAAAGAGCGTGAAGTAGAAAATTAGAGTTCCACTCAAGTGATATGAAAAACACTAGTGGAAAAATATATTTCACGACTACTGCATATCACCGCGAGTATCGCGTTTCTCACGCAAATCAGGTGAAACTCCATTGATATTTATTACCAACTTCAACTGCCTGGGGTCTGTCCAATTTCAGTGTCGCTTTAATGCTATCACCTAACACCAAGTGCGTGCGAACTCAGCGGATCTCACGAAGCTACCAGGCATAGCCATATCAACATCATCAGGGAGTATAATTCTGCATGAACAATCTCCCGTCCTGATGTACGCCTGTGGACGATACTCGCTGTGAAAAGGGTTCTTCCTACCACCTGAGAGAACATACATGTTGATGCAGTGTTGGAGTAGGTATATATATGTTCGCCTTCCTCAACGCGGCGACGGGAGTTCATATAAGAATTCGAGTGAAAGACAAGTATGTCCCAAAATTTTCCCAGAATAGGAAGTAGCTAAATGTGTATTCTATTCAGCGCGCAACCGACATGTAACATCTCTACAGAAATAGTGAATCAAATTGCTGATGACATCGGACAAACGTCGTAGAATTTTCATATTGTAACTAACACATGTAGTTGAGTATGTGCATGTTTTCCCACATTACTTGGAACATATGTTCGCCTTCCTCAGCTCAGGAGTTTCTAGGAATTTATATACTACATAAAGAATTTGCTGAGAATAATAAAGATTTATTACTACATAAACAATTTGCTATATACACAACGAACTTTCATATTGGCACCAACACGTGTAGTTGACCATGTGCATATTTCCCCACACAGTGTTGATCCGTTTACCCTCGTCCTCCTTCAACACATATAAGTCGCTCTCGAATTCTGTATACGTCTTAGCAGCTCCTGGCTTGGTGAGTACCATGCCTCGTCTGATCTGAAGTCGAGATGACGATTCGGAATGAAAAGCTTATGTTGGAGTTTCACCCTAGTGATATGAAAAACACTAGTGAAACTACATATTTCACGACTACTACTGCATATCACCGCGTTTTCCACCGAGTTTTTTTAGTAGTATTAACACTTTTATGCTACTCGGCTATAATCGTGCGTCAAACCTCACATTTTCAAATTTCTTCCACAAACGCTTATTACATACTCTTATACTTTCGGCATGTGCACTATAATATATAGTGGAGTGTCACAACCCGTTTTACGTGAAGTGGCGTAAACTCGGTGAAAACGCGATATCGCGGTGATATGCAGTAGTCG